TGAGCCATCTGGGCAGAAGCCCAGCTCAAGGTGCTGAGTTCAGTCTTAGTTGCGGGTGGGCGTAGTCCTACATTGAACAGGCAATCTTGTTACACAAGCTGAGCTATCCTGCCACCTGTTGGCAGCTCAGCGACAACTCAGCTCGGGTGCAGTGTCACTGGCCCATGTGGGAATCAAACCAGCGGCCCTGTTACTCAGAGTTCACGCTTTTAAGCCAACTCTTAACCAACTGAGCCACTTGGCTGGCTGATGAGTCTTAACATTACCAACGTGGAACATCACTTATCATGTGCTTTGCGATATGATGCGATAGGATATATACAACATTGTCTATGAAATATGTCCGCCCAGCCCTCTGAATTAAACATGAATCTAATTGAGCCCCTAGATATAACTGTGCTTTAAACAAAATACAGAGATTAAGGGGAAAGTGAAATAATATCATGAGAATGCAACTAGCCAAATCTAAAATGTGGCAAGTTCTTCATTACAAACATGACCTGGTTTTTATAATAAATAATTGCAATGGGAAAATAAAAGTGGGTGTGTGGCAGGGGTTAAAAGTAATTTTAGAGAATATTGTCTAAGTATGCATTCAAGACCTTGTTTGAATCCTGTCTCATGCAAATCAAGTATAAAGATGTATTTTTTCATACAAATAGTGAGATTTGAACATTTGCCTTAGTAGATACTATTAAAGAATTTAATGTCCTTATTTTCTTGTGATACATACAAAAATATTTACAGATCTGTAGAATGTTGTCATTTATTTGTGCTTTTAGCTAACCATCACTCTCCTACTGTTAGATTACGAGTATTTTAAACAAGAGAAAATAGGGAATAATTATATTGGTTACAAGAGTCTTAAGAGACATAAACTAAATGTAATTTGTAAACTTTGTTTGGAGCCTGATTTAAACAAAATGTAAAGAGATTTTTTTGAGACAGTTGGAGAAAATAGACCTTGAACTAGGTATTGTCTGCTATTAATCAGCTAATTTTGCTGGGTCTGCAATTGTGAGTTTGTTTTTTAAGTCTTTATCTGTTATACATATATCCTAAGTCATAGTGAAGTAGTTATAGGTAAAGCAATATGATATCTCTAATCTGCTTTTAAATATTGTGGCAAACAAAACAAACTAAGAGACAGAATAGACAAGATTCACAAAGTGGTAATAATTATTGAAGCTGTGTAATGTAGATATTTGTGGTTCATTATAACAGTCTATACTTGATGTATGTTTGGAAATTTCTTTAATAGAAAGTAATAAAACAGTGTGTTTCACCAATATTATGCTGGTTTGTTTTTGTTTTTGTTTTTTTAGCTGAGCCATCCTGCCATCTGTTGGCAGCTCAGTGGCAGCTCAGCTCAGGCCGGGAATTGAACTGCTGTTGCTCAGAGCTCTCACTCTTTTTATATATTTTTTTAAGATTTTTATTGGGGAATTGGGAGATGGGAAGATACAAGTTGCTGTCCTTTCGTTCTTCAGTCTAGTTGTGGAGGATGTCGCTTCACTGGCCCAAGTTGGCACCATCATTGCGCTCTTCCTGGGCGAGGTAGATTAGTCGCTGGCCTCTGGACAGCCACTCACAGCGGCTGCTGGCCACTCACGCTGGCCGCCAGCTACACATGGTAGCTTATGGCAGCCCACTGCAGCAGGGGACCGCAGCCTACGCCGTCGCTGGCGACTCACGGCAGCCCAGCTCCAGGTTGAGCTGTTGTTCAGCATCTTGGCTGTAGAGGGCAGTGTCACTGGCCCTCATATGTGGGATCCGAACCGGGGCCCTCTGGCGTCCCGAGCCAGCTCTTAACCAACGTGCCACTTGGCTGGCCCAGAGCTCTCACTCTTGAGCAAGCTCTTAAACCAACTGAGCCACTCGGCTGGCCCTTATGCTGTTTTATTTACTTTAGCTTTATAACAAAATATAATGGTCATTTTCAAACACTTTCCCAGTTTTTCTTGGGCATCTTCTCACTGAGATGCATTTTAAGAGTAAACTTATTGAGTTATATAAAGAATCTTCTGCAGTTTTTTATTTGGATTGCATTGACATTAAATTTTCATATTGTTAGAAATCACATGTTTACAGTATAGAAATTTTGCATCTAGGAATTGTGTTTTAAAATTAATTGTCACTGTTATATGACAGAACTATTGTTTTGTATCAAATTTGTATCTTCCTGCTTTCCTAGACTCTATTGAGTATAATCAAATAGCTTTTCAGTAAATTTTCTTAGATTTTGTAAGTGGAACATATTTTCTGATCATGATAATTTTTTACTTTTTTCAGTTTTTTTTCTTATTACATTGGTTAAGAATTCTAAAACAATGTGTAACTGTATTGTGATAGCTATAGTCTTTTCTTCATTAGTAATACCTTCTTTTATTTTCTTGCCTGTTTTGCTCTATTTCTAGCATCTCTTTTTATGCCAATACCATACTGTTTTGATTGCTGTAGCTTTTTAATATAGTTTCAAATTAGGAAGTGTGAAGCCTCCAACTTGGTTCTTTCTCAAGATTGCTTTGCTATTTGAGATCTTTTGGTTTCCATGCAAATTTTAGGATTGTTTATTCTATTTCTGTGAAAAATGTTAATAGAATTTTGATAGGAATTATATTGAATCTGTGGATTGCTTTGGGTATTTTGAATATTTTAATTAATTAATTAATTATTTTTTTTAGCTGAGCCATCCTGCCGCCTGTTGGCAGCTCAGCGGCAGCTCAGCTCGGGCTGGGCATCGAACCGCTGTTGCTCAGAGCTCACACTCTTGGGTGAGCTCTTAACCAACAGAGCCACTCGGCCGATATTTTAAATATTTTAATTATTAATTCTTCTAGTCCATGAGCATGGTATATCTTTTATGTGTATTTTCAATTTCTTTCATCAGTGCCTTAATAGTTTTCAGTGCACAGGTATTTGACCTCCTTGCTTAAACTTTCCTAGGTATTTTATTTTATTTTTTTATGCAATTGCAAGTGGGATATTTTCTTAATTTCTCTTTCTGATAGTTCATTATTATCGCAAAGAAATGCAACTGATTTTGGTATGTTTGCTTTTGTATCACACTACTTTACTGAATTTGTTTATTCTAACAGTTTTTGGTGGTGTCCTCAGGGTTTTCTGTCATGTCATCTTTAAATAGAGACAGCTTTATTTCTTCCTTCCCAATTTGTATGCCTTTAATATCCTTGTCCTGCCTAATTGCTCTGGCTAGGACTTCCAGTAGTATGTTTAATAAAAGAGGCAAGAGTAGGTATCCTTGTCTTGTTCCTGATCTTAAAGGAAAAGCTTGCCGCTTTTCACCGTTGAGTATGATATTAGCTGTTGTCCTATATGGCCTTTAATATATTGAGGTATGTTTCCTCTATACAGACTTTGTTGAGAATATTTCATTATGAATGGATGTTGAATTCTTTTCAAGTTATTTTTCTGTAGCTTTTGAGATGATCATAGATTTTTATCCTTCCTTTTGTTAATGTGGTGTGGATCTCAGTCAGCACCTAGCTGCAGGCTGATTGAAAGCTGGACCCTCAGGCAGCAGCTTTTAAAGTATGCAAATATACCTGTTTCATATGAAGACTGGGAGATGGGCATTTCAGTCTACTGCCTCTGTGCTGTGCCTTAGGTGGAGAGTGAGTTAAGAAGTAATTTTAAACTATGGTAAATATTCCATTCCTCATCAAACTTTG